TTACAAATGACGTACTCTGAATTACAATTGACCCGTTCTGAATTATAAATGATAGATAGTGAATCACAAATGACATTTTCTGATTTTCAATTGATTCTTTCTGAATTCCTATTAACTAATTTGAATAATATTCGATATTTTCTGAATTTCAATTAACTAATCTGAATTAGAAATGATATTGTCCGAATTACACCTGACGCTTTTAAATCATAAATTGGAAACGGTGTAGAACGAGCCACACGCAATTAAATGCACTTCCCCACGAGTTCAGTACACTATTCTTCCTATGATCAAGAATATACACACAGCGACAAAAAAAAACGGCCACCAAAAGAATTAACCATATTGGTCGCCATGTAACTTTTATAGGTCTTCTCCAGTTTTTTCGGAATGTTAGCCGGAATTTTATTACTTCCCAAGAAAAACTGATGACTTGATCATTATACAGAAAAAACAAAAGATCCTCTTTCACCCATAACTTCGTAATGCCCTGTGGCAAAAGTGACTGGTTACACTCATCAGTGGTGGATCCAGGATTTTCTTCATGGGGGGTGCACAAGAATTTCGAAGGTACCTACTGCATGGGCTTTCAGGAAAAAGGAGCACATATGTTCGTGTGAATATACGAACACAGTAATATGTTGCTGAAAAATTTTTATTCTGTTGAATTCAACAAGACATTATTCTAAATGAACAGCAAAACAGTTCTCAAAAATCATGAAACATCCAAAATAAACAAGTCTCTTTGTTCAATTTATATAATCAAGCGTTTTGGAAAATTGATTCCTGATATTTTCGGAACTTCAGTCAATTTGTTGATAAGAAAATCAAGTTTAGATTAAGATATGTCACAGTTTCCAGTTTTCAATTCTTGTGACCACCTGTGAGTATGATTACACAGTTTATAAAAAATCAGCTCATTAAACTTTTCAAAATCATGTCAATTTTTACATATTATCTAGTGTAATGGTTCTGGTGTCCTGTATCAGGGGTGTTTTCAGAGATTGCTGACTACTCTCAGAGTCGTCTCCTAAATAGAAAAATAAAAAAAATATACAGGGTGTTCCATTCCAAATTCTGGAGTTCAAGTTTTGTTAAGGAATGCAAAAAAATGTAAAGCATTGACATTGGCATGCAATATTAACTATAATAAGTGTAGGTTCATATTTTTGTCATATGCTTTTGACCTATTATGAATAGTTTCGACACAAAAAATCATAAATCTGAAAAATCTCGATTTTCACACCCAATATCTCTGTAATTGTCACTGCTAGACACCAAGTGTTATAGGTCAATGGAAAAAGCTCTTCAGGGAGAATCTGAAAATGGAATAATATACAGGGTGTCCCATTCAAAAATTGTTGCTACTTGCGGCAACGTCGCAGCGCTAAGAATATTTTAGGTCGGTAGAGCACAACTTATCATCCAAGGCACCAAATTTCCAGAATGATCCCAAGTTACGTTTACCAGAATGTGAATCAGCCTGTATATTCCCAATGAATGGTAAATTCAAGGAATATTAACAATTTCGATAAAAAAATTAGCGATCTTGGTAGTAGGTAAAATATTGTACGGCGATATTCGTATCGTAATAGATATTTACGTTACGAGTCCGGTAAGTACACTTTTACAGTACGAGTGAGATGTTTCGGAATTTCGAAACGAGTACTGTAAAAGTTTACCGAACGAGTGACGTATAACATTTTATTTCATACTGCTGAAAAACAAAAATGAACAGTGAAAAATAAAATATTAATCTATTTATCTGCGTCCAGTAATTTCAGAATTTTGCATTCACTCCCAAGATAGCTGGCAGGTAGTTTCCTTAGAAACTTAATTTTTGTTTTAAATGATTCAACATGGAGAAAACTTTGTTGAAGTGCTACAACAAAAAAATGGGAATGTACCAGCAAGTAGCAACTCCCTAATAAATAATTCATCCAATGGAGCTCCTGGTATCCATATTCATGGGAACGAAAATTCAACGGTTAATATTAATATTAGCAATAAGTAATTTCTGTGTATTGTTTTGCTGTTGAATTTTTAATAAATGTATTCATGCTTTTGACGCATAACTGAGTTTTCAATATTTACAATCCGGTAAAATTTCATTACGGGATAGTAGCACGTAATGAAATATTACGTGCGCCTATCCTGTAAAAGTCTATTTTCCGGATTGAAATCAGGTACGTAAAGGTATGTTCTTTGATGCAGTATGAAATAAATATCTAGTACTAAATTCGTATCCCAAAACATCGTTGTTAGCGCCCCTTTTTGATTTTTCTGCCCAGAAGCACCGACCTGTGCATTTTTTATCGAACACTCGTCGCCTAGCGATTATGCTCCCCCCTCCTCCGCCCTTAATTTCTAGAACCCTGCTCCTACCTAATTTTTTTGTTATTTCATATAATTCAAGACGAAATCCGGTCCAGGCCCCTGGACTTGACGATATTTTATTTTTTGCTGGGATACTCACTGAACCACTGAACCAACACAAGATTGATGAGCATACTAATATCTATATAACACCGAAAAAATTCAAGGGGTGTTTCCTTGTGAGATTTTTGAAATACAGGATGTTGAAGTTGGAAGTATTAATTGTTTTTATTTATCGCCCCCCTGTATAAGCTTTCATGGTGCCAAAATTCAGTATGAGAGACTGAGAAAGCCCCAAAATTTCAAAATGATTCTAATCGGGGTTATTCAGTAATCTCAATGGAAGACTTGAAAACACCTACATTTAAATTTGGAGTCAAATCGAAATTTTCTTGTTTCTTCAGAAACTGAGCTAGATACAAAAATCACACAGAGGATAAAAAAGTTGTTATTTCACTAGTGCAATCTAATAAAAATATGAAAATCAGAAAAACCGTTGGTGTACAATGACATTCAGCATGAATATCGACAAATTCACCCACTGTGACGTCACTGGAAATATTATTTATGGAAAGACTATTGAGAAATGAAAAGAAAAATATTTTTCATGGAAATATTAATACCCTGTATCTCGAAAACGAAGCAAGTTAGGACACATGTTTGTATGAACTTTACATACTAAAATATCACAAAGAATAACCCCTTCAATTTTTTTCAATGTTATTCAGATACACCCTGTGTATCATTGAAGATTGGTAGAAGTCCATATTACTCGAAGTGGAGTGAAATTTTTCAAAGGGAGGAAGGAATGCTCGAAGTCATCTTCACAAATTTCAAAGGTGTTGTGACACAATCACAAAGGTCATGTTTCAAGACCGAAACATTTCCCTTCTGATTGTGTGACACCTTTAAAATTTGTGGAGATGACTTCGAGCATACCTTCCTTTCTTTGATATATCATCAAAAATTATGAAGACGACTGAGTTTGTCTGCACTTTCGCTTCACTAAAAGATACAATAGACATCTACTATACTGACATCCTAAGCCTAACCCCCGTAACCAACAAATTCACGGAAATTCAGATTTTTGGCGCATTGGTTGCTTGGCAACTATTATTTGATCCTTACTAAGCGAAAACCCGGTATTCATATTGCAAATCAGTAATTTTGGCCATTTCAACTCCCCGTATCTACCCAAATAAGGCACTCCTGCTAAGCAAAAAACCACTAATCTAAACAGTACTAATCGAGAACACCGCATCTGCATAACATGTGGCGCGTGCAGATACGTGGTTTTCGACTAGCAACATGGTTTCAATTTCTTACAGTATGCAAAATATGTATGTACAATTCTCAGCAAAAACATCGCATCTGCCATTTCATATTGAAAAACATAATTTTTAAACTGTTATCCGGTTTAATCGATTTCAGAACGTTTTTGATACTGGTCCGACCCAAAATGATACTTAAGTTAACGACAGCAATCAAACACTGTTTATTGCGTATACTCCATTTTACCTTTTTTTGTAGGTACAGGGTGATTCACCATAAATGTCCCCCCCTCTAGCTCACTTATTTTTGAACCGATTTGAAAAGGACCCCGCACTAAACTATAGGGAAAATGGCTCTCGATGAAAATCGCTGAATTTTTGGTATGTTGTAGACTTTCACAAACTGAACAGATATTCCATTGAACTAACCTCAAAAAATGGACAATTTTTCCGATATTGACCTCCAATTGTCATTTTTTCGAGAAAAAAAAGTATCTGGAAATGGTTGAATTTTTGGCATGTTGTAGATGGAAATGAACTGATGAAAAAATCCAATTGACCTACCCTTCAAAAAATTGACAGTTTTCGCGATATTGACCTCCAAATAGTTTTTTTTAAGAAAGAAATCTCTGAAAATGGCTGAATTTCTGGTATGTTGTAGATAGGAATAATGAACTTATGAAAAAATTCAATCGACCTAACTCTGTAATCATTTTCGCTAGACCCCAAGTGTGATACATTGATGAAATCAGCTCTTCAGGAAGAATCTTGAAATACAATGAAAAATTGGGTGTTCCATTAAGAAAAATCAAAAAGTAAATTGTACTAAAATTATTCTAAAATTGTTCTATCCGTCATTCGGTTGCCCCCTTACGAGCAACCCTCAGAAGTCTTCGAGAGTCTTGTGCGAGCAAGGAATGACGGGGGCCTTACCTTTTAACGTGTGATCCCGAACACTTTCTTGGGCCATCAGAAAAATTTCTGCAGTCGACGGGACTCGAACCCACGACCGGCAAGCGAATGCGAATGCGGATTAGAATATGGACACTCTGTCCGCACGGCTACCTGGCCACCCTGTAGATCGTTTGTTCCGAGCACCTTGTATTTTCTGATGTAGTGGAAAAAACTTTATCGAAAATCATTTAAGATGATATCTATAATTTTGCAATCGGTTCAGAAATAACTGAGCTAGAAGGGGGAAGGCATTTATGGCGCATCACCCTGTACGGGAGTTGTGCTTAAGTCGGCAGTATAGACGAAACAATTAACTTCGACTGACACCCAACATCTCTCTTCCACTTTAATCCACTTTACTTTACTCAACTCCACTCATCCTCCTACCTAATATTCCTGTTATTTCATGCGATTCAAGACGAAATCCGCCGCCACTATGAGCCCCTTCTGGTAGGGACTGTCGGCCAGCAGGTTGGCCAGCCTGACCGCCTCTTGGCAGTGCTGGCGCGCCAGGAACTGGGTCTGGTCCAGACCCCTGGACTTGTGGACTAGCTCGAAGGCCTTCTCGACGTCTCCGGGTTCTTGGAAACGGCGCATTATCATCGGATTCAACTCGGGGAACTGAAAGAAGAATATAATAGAATAGAGCTTTATTTTGCATTGATAGCTATTACATAACCATACATGAATATTACACATTCGATATATATATCACACATAAACAATGTTAAGATAATTGGTTATGACACTGTCTGTCCACTATGCCTGAATAAAAAAACTGAATAGAGTCGGCAGAAGTCATGCATTTGACAGTGTCAGAATTTATCTGCATAAGTAGACATGTCACACGAATTTATGTATTTTCATTCATTTCAAAGTTGAATAAACGATACAGTACACTCAAGCATAAATCATTGAACAACGAAATCTTGTTTTGAAAATTCTTACATTTCCTGATGTCTTAAGAGGTAGATCATTATACATTATCAAACCTTCAATGAAGAGAGTTTTTTCCAAAGCATTTGTGTTGAAACCTTGTATGTAGAACTGATCATTGAACCTCAAATTATAATGTACCATATCTGCCCTTTTGATTTTGTATTTTTGCAAGTTGGAAGGAGCTTGCTTATTGACAATTTTAAAAATTAATACCAAAGACGACTCTACAATCAGTTGGGAAATATTGAGAAATTTTAAGGTCTTTAGCATATCATTTTTTGCAGTAAACCTGCTACAACGAAGCAGAATTCACACTGCTTTATTCTGGAGTAGCTGCAATCGATGTATTTGTGTAGAAGAACAGGAAAGAAGTATGGACATACAGTAATTAAAATTTGGAAATATAATAGTGTTGAAAACAATTTTTCTACATCACGGGGAAAGGCTTGTATAGATTCTATAAAAGTGTCCGACTTTTTTCCTATTTTTTTACATAAAAAATCGATATGCACAGAAAAGTTAAGTTGAGGGTCAAAAAGAAGACGAATCATTTAAATCAGCTTATTATTGGAATGATCGGGATTCAAAGCAGGCAGAGCAGTGGTCGGCAACCTATCCTTTGTACCGATACTCTGATGATTTCCAAAAAAAAGTGATCTATACAGGGTGTTATTTAAGTATGTGGCCAAACTCCAAGGAGTGGACGAAAAGTTCAACTAGGAAAAAGACAAATACTCAAAGTGGAATGAAATGGTCACAAAGTGGAAAAAGGATTAGTTCATGGAATGAACGAAAATGGTAGATAACGAGAGAAAAACAACAACAATCCTGACTATAAGCCACGCAGAACATTGAATTATATCCTCCCGATATCTATGCAACGATGCTTAAAGACGAATACAGCTGCAAGTGATTCTTTCATAAATTCTGAGCTGTGCCCAAACTGTTCAGGAACGCTAGACTACCTACAGACCGGTTTCGAGCTTTGGGCTTTCATCAGTGCAGGAGTGTCTCCAGATGACTTCTTGACCGCCATCTGGTGCGAATCTGACTAGAGTCTAGCCATAGCACCATAGAGAGGTGATATTGCGCTTGGCTCGCTGCTCGCTTGTCGCGAGAAACAAAAAAATGTCCGGCCGAGGGCGCCTAACCAGTAAATGCCTCCACATTATTTTTTTCGATTAATTGCTTCGGAAAAAAAAATAAAAAAGATTAGCTGGAGTAGGGATTCGGCCACCACGCTTCTGGTAAAAATAACTACGAAACAATTTTATATACGCTCTTGATTAGCCGCCGTGGCGATATTTCCCGTATTGTGGTGCTATGGCATGACAAACTCTATGGTGAAAACTGCATATCTGTATCTATCTTCGTTTCAGAGTTACAAGGTGTTTTTCGAAAATATGAATTTTTGAAAAGTGACTAAAACTCATTTGTTTTGACAAAAATTTTTCGCCTACATGAAAATATTTCCAAAGCATTGTGTTTGTCATGAAAATTGATCCTCAGGCACTGAAATCAGTCACCATATACCTAGTTTCAAAATAGAACTTTTTCTTTAAGAAAAACAAGTTATATTTTTGAACAAGATATAGGAAGGCTGATTTCAGTGCCTCAGGAATAATTTTCATCACAAACTCAATGCGATGCAGTTATTTCCATGAGAACAGACAATGTTTGCCGAGAAAAGATTTGTACACACTTTTCAAAAATTCCAATTCCCGAAGAATACCTTGCACCTCCAAAACGGAAGAATATATCGATATGCAGCTTTCACCATTAATTTTTGCATGAGAATCGACCCTCAGGTACCGACATCAGTTTTCTTCTAACTAGTTCGATAATCGGACTTTCCCTTTAAAAGGGCCCACCCAGTACAGTGACAACATCAAGGACAACATGATACATATAAATCGGAATGACAGTCATTCCATATTTCCAAAAAATGGCAGTTCTTACTTTCTCACAAGCAAAGAGAACTGGCGCCGTGGCTAAACCCAGCTTTAGATCAGCCGCAGTAGGCTTTCCCATGGCTTCCGCTGAAGACACAAAATCCAGGAGGTCGTCTACCAATTGGAAGGCCAAACCGAGATTTCTGCCGTATTGAAACGCGATTTCTGTTACTTTTTCGTCGGCTTCTGCTAAAATGGCTGCCTGAAAAATTGTAAGGTAAGATTATACTGATTTTTTGGTAAAAATTGAGGTTTTTTGAGAAAAACAATAAGAGGCACAAAGTCGGTCGACCACATAATATTATTTCATAAAAAGTGTAACTATTTTTGGCCACATGCCATCATCAGACACAAATGATGTATTAAAGAAGTACCTAGAAGAGATTATGCAAACAGTTAAGGAGTCAAACAAGAGACACCGTTAAAGTTATACAGACCTCAGCAATACATATTAAGAACAATTACTAGCATAGCTCAAGAATCCAGAGTATAATTTGTTATTTTTGACCTATGCTAGTAATTGTAATTGCAACTGTTTCCATAATCTCTTCTAGGTACTTATTAAAAACATCAATTTTTGTGTCTGATGATGCCCTGTTGGCCGAAAGTAGTTACACTTCTTGTTAAATAATTGTATGTGGTCGAGCGACTTTGTACCTTTTATTGGTTGTCTTAAAAAATCAATTAAACCACTTTGAGAAATATGGATGGTTTCTATGATTTAAACATTGGGGTGATTGCATAAAGCATAAAGTGTTGATGCTGAATCAGAATTCTAGCTCAGAATTTTAATATTTCAGTCAGGGGAGTATTATACTGGAATCTTATATAACGAGGTGATTGATCAAGATTAAGAAGTTATTAATTAAAGTTAGTTAATATTAGTAAATATATTTGTTCTTTCTTAGTTCCGTAGGGACCGTTTCAAGAAATAGCCATATTTAAATTCATGTTATTGTCTGGATCCTGTTTACTGTCCCAGAACCACAAGAAATTGGGAATGCATATTAATTGAATCAGATCGTCGATGCAACATATATTTGTGTAGAAGATTACTACATATTCTCATTCTGTTTATGTAATACTTTCACCTGAGGCTGCAAATTGGATTCCGAAACATGACTATAACTAATTAACACTATCGCTATTGATTATCCGATTTTGGATGACAAAAAAGCAAATGAAATTACACACTATTCAATAACGTCAGCGACGATCAACTGTTTTTTCAATATCTTTCTGTTCGAGATTTAATTGAAATAAAAAATGAATCAATTTTTTCACGGCACACTTGCGGTATATCTAACAAATAGAGCACTGCAGTTTATTTCAGAGGCATTCACTGCCACATTCAATAATACATCTGAAAATTTTATGGAAATAGCTATTTCTTGTCAACTGATCATTTATTTTTCATACATCATTGTATTCAGAACAAAAATCTCAGAAAAAAAATCATATGGTGACATTTGATATATCAAATCACCCGACTATTTATTTCGTATACCGTATACCGACTCTCATCAATTATTATTTGGAGTCATAGTTGTCGCTGATAGACCATGGAAGAAGAATTTAAGGACACTATCGTACATACCGATTTGACAGAATTGGCAATCAGCGAAGCCGTCTTTCTGTAAGTTTTTGTTAGATAGTGAGCGAATCGTTCGTTTTCGGTTTCTTTGGAACCCAATTGCATGAATTCTCCTTGGACTAGATCTGTTACTACCTGGAATCGACAAAAAGATACGAACTATTAATAGATGTAATTCAGCGATGTAGAATGGAAATATTACTTGACTCAAAACTGATGTGACCTCGTTATTCCTTAACCTAGCTATCATCATGGAAGCTACTGCCAGAATGAAATCACCTGCCATAGTGACCTGAAACAAATAGAGAAAAATATTAACATTTTGCTGTAGAGGCTTAGAAGATTCAGGGCATTTGCTTCGTGGACTTGCTGGGCAATTGTGGCTTTGGCGATACTAGCAAAGAAATGTGTGATGCTATCATTGGTCAACTTGAATTAGTTAGCTATACCATTGACCAATATCAATATCACACACGTTTCATTCAGGTTTGAATATCTGGCCATTGCTGTTTTATTATAGAAAACATTGAATTGATTCTCCATCATCACTTGTAATATGCATCCGGAGAAATATATGAATTCAAAAGTCAAGTCTAATGAGATTAGAACACCAAGGTAGTAAATAATCCCGAGGCTTAAGTCGAGGGGTATAAGGATCCAGTGGTGATAATATTATTTTTCCACCACTAGCTATAAATAAAAATAATAATAGTTTTATTGCTTTGAAACGAAAAGTTACAGCAAGGGGTTGGTTGCGTACATAAATTTTAGTTTACAGTGATCCTTAAAGCTATAAGTGTACCTATACTAATATTGACAGGAGACCTAACTTAATTTATCGTTATTCACTCAAAATGAATGATAGAATTTTCAGGATATTATAAACGAAATTACAAATATATACAATATTATTACTAGCTATAGAACATACCATTATTTACTCCTTTTTGAGGCGTAAAGTGTGTTTTTACTACTAAGGTAGTTTTCGTCATTTTATTAACCCGAATGCACTGTTCTGATCAGAGATTTGCAGGAATGGCAGTGAAATACAGGTCCATATTTCGGTTCACTAAAATGATTGCAATGTATTGCTAGTGGTGCAAAAAATTCAATATACACCTTGGTAGTGAAGAATATTTCCACGGGCTGAAGCCTCGAGGAATAATCTTGGTCCCTGTGCATTCTTTACTACCTTGGTGTATAAATAACTATTATTACTACCAAGGTGTATGGAGTGTCTCGAAATTAGCCTGCCATACTTCAGTAGCAGATTTCTCGACCAAAAATAGGGAAAAAAGTTCGAAGGACAAAGTCGAAAAAGTCCTCCTGAGGGAGCTACGGCTACCTTGAAGGGGGTTCCTGAAGGTGATATTTCCTAAATATTTCCGAAACACCATGTGATAAAATGATGCAATCCGGTACAAGATGTATCATTTTATCACATGGCGTTTCGGAAATTAGGAAAATATCATCTTCAGGAGCCCCCTTTAACTCTTTCAGGTACAGGAATTTCGAAATATAACACCCCCTAGATGTACAGCTTTATTTTTCTTCAGATTTTCGAAAAATTCATTAACAAACTAACTCCAAATGTCTCAAAAATACAAACAAATATAAAATGATTTCAGAATTCTCCAATTTTTACAACAAAAAAAACGGTGGGTCAAAATTTAACCCACCATTCCATAAGGTGAAAGATTTCATGAGAATCTACTCATTTCGAATCACTGTGAAACGTCTGCAAACATGTTTTGTTCTTTGCAAGACAGAGTGAAACACACAACCAGTTTGTTCCAACTTCAAACTCTCCTGAATTGCAAAGAGCATTATCTCCTTCGACTTGTTCGGATAGGTTGATGAGGACCCTGTGTGACTCTCATTGCCGGGCTTTGACTGAGTGTTTTTCTCTATTTGAATCGTCCATTCGATTGATTTTCTCGATGAAGATACTGATATTCATTGACAACTGAATGATCAAGTCTTCCATTGATAACTTTGAAAGATATAGAGTATTCTGTGAAGAATAAATGAGTTGACTACAGCGGCATCCAAGAAAAAGATTTCATGAATATCTGTTCCTTTATGTCTTCCCAGTCGTCTGATAATTCTGCTTAGTATATAGTTTGATCTGGAAAACTATGTGATTCAATAATTTGTCCGTGATGAACTGACGAGAGAGATTATTCATCTTGAGCAACTCCAGAGAGGTTAAAATCTTTTGGCTGAACGATCTCATCCACTCCACCATATTTTCTTTATCACTGGTTTCAACTCCGCGATAGGGGTATCAAATCTTCTGGGTTTCATGTATCCATATATGAGTACTGGTGTCTTGATATCCATATTAGACAGTATAATGTTGTTAAAATTGAATTCGACATCATTTTCCTCATCATTATCCTTGAAAAATATCTTGGTCATGTTATTGTATAGTGGGACAAATTTCAAACAGCGTATATTTTCACACATTGTTAACGAAAATTAAACATATAAGTTGGAAAAATATAACAAGTAGGTTACCTATGTTGCCTAGATAGTATTTAATGCCACAAAAAATAAAATAACATGAAAAGCATGAAATTTGCAGCCGCAATTCGAGAGGAGAAACACAACGTACGGAACAAGTTTCGAGTTTATTCTATTTACTGATAATGTATTGTTTTATTCGCTTCAGCTTTATGGTTCAAAAGACCAATAATTATGAGTGAGTAATATGGGGCGGGAGAGATAATAAACCGTCGCACCACAAATCATAAGCCCATTGCAGAGCGGGATATATTTTGTCCCAGCATACCTCTAACTCCAAGAAATTCGTGGTTCAAATTCTGCACCAAGGTACTTGAAAGAGTTAAGGATGCCGTAGCTCCCTCAGGAGCCATATTTCGATGTATGTTTATTGGAACTTTTTTTCCTATTTTTGATCGAAGAATCTGCTACTTATGTATAGCAGGCTAATTTCGTTACACCCTGTATATTGCAGTTTTTCACCAGTATCAATATCTTTCAACCAATATACTTCTATGAAACTGAAATATGGACCTATTGTCACTATGAAAGCCCTTCTTTTCAATTATTCCATTCGAAATCTAGTTAGTTATAACAGAGGTGTATAGTATATAGTATGAAAATGACGAAAACAGATTCATGATCTGTTGGGAGCCACCACAGTTTTGCAGATAATAGTACCCTCCATACTGCGTTCTCTTCCAGAATTCCCATTTCTTCCCAGGAACCTGAGAACTCATGGCGATGGCAGGTCATTGCTGTCAATGGAGATCTCAAGCCTGTATTTTCTCTAGAAAGGCGGAAACTAGTATGTCTGATATGACAATGTCTGATACCAACATTCCCACCGTCAACTATTCGCGGGAATCAATGTTACCAGGTGGCGCTCGTTTTTCATCGTTCCATGTCAAAGCAACGTCAAAACTGGGGGAAAATAAACCCAATCCTCACTCAATTGACTCAATGCCATAAGTGCCATATTAGCTTGTGTACTGTGTACTGATAAGAGTGATAAGTTTTTAAATTTCTTGACATCAATTGTCAATATTCGATCGAAAACGCTGATAATGCTTGTTGTAAATGTTCTTTCGGCAGATATTTTACTCTATTCGGATGGAAAAAGCCGACCAGTAGTGAAAGGAGAAGCAGTTCTCCGTGCTAATCATGTGATTTTGTGTGAGACAGAAGACTTCAACAAAAGGCACATTTTTGCACTTTGTCTACAAATTTCGGCGATGTAATCTTCCCCACATGAAGTAAAATTGAAGTTGGGGTCCAGAGGAACTCCTGTAGAACAATGGATTTGTATTTGTTCCTACAAAGCAGGACAATCTGGGTATTGTAAACATGTTGTAGCTGTTCTTTTATATGTCAATTGATTTGCTCGTCATAATTAGTTTGAATTGTTTGAACTATCTCCAATTCTTCACCCCTTCACTGTTCACTGAACTTGTGCGAGCCCAGATAGAAACGGACCTTGTATAATATGCATATTGTTTGTTTTCATGGATTGTTTAGTTTTGATTGGAAAAATAGTTGAATGAAAAAGTTGTTAAAAAATATAAAATAACTTGTCAAGACAAAACGTCAATAAAATCTAAAAAGACGAAAATATTATTTATTTATTGGCCAGACGGTTATTTTGAGCAAGGCAACAACATTTGGTGACCCCGACGTGATCACGACTATGGAGAAAGATCAGAGACCTAGACGAGAATGTGCTGGTGTTAATCGCAATCTATCAGTCGACTTCGTGTGGCCAGGTAACTTTGGCACTGATAATGTACCCGCTGAAATTGTTACGGAAGTGATAGCCACACGTTCTGATGCTGCGGCACCATCGACGTCTACGAAGAAATCTCGAAGTTCCATTTGTTCTCTCATTAGCTTAGAAAAGAAGAGGCTAGCAATATTGAAAGAGAAGAAAAAACAAGAGTTGGAACAGAAACAGAGACAAGTACAGTTCGAATTTGAACAGAAACAGAAAGAAACCGAAAATAGTATCCGCCTTCTAGAGATGGAACATGATCTCCAAAATGCTGAATTGGATGAACAAGAAGAAATGAGAAGCTGCAGTGAAAAATCTAGGATATCTATCGATATTTTAAGAAATAATAGAAGTTTCGTGGAAGAAAATAAAGTGGAGACAGTGGCAGACTGGATAGAAACAATACCCGAAGAAGAAGTTGAGGATGTCGTATGCAAACATGACAATGAACATCCCAACAATGATATAAGAATGCTTTGTGAAACTCTTTCTAATGTTCTGAAATCTGTTTCACCGCCAAGCATTCATAATAAATCTTCAAAATTATTAGCACGACACACAGTTGATAAGGACTTTCCACGCTTTGACGGAAACCCGCGAGAGTGGCCCCTATTCTATAAACAGTTCCAGAATATATGCAGTCTTTGTGAATATTCCAACGAAGAAATCATGTTGAAATTGCAAAGCTGCTTGAGAGGGGACGCGAAAGGAGCAGTAGCAGGAATGATGTTGACACCTGAAAATGTTGATTTGGTGATTCAGACTCTACAGATGCGTTTTGGAAGACCCGAACAAATCATTGATGCTATGCTTTTCAATGTTAGGAGCATACCTTATATTAGGGAAACAAATTTGGAGAAACTCATTCAGTTTTCAACAGAAGTTCGCAATGTGGTGTCAATAATGAAGACACTGAATTCTACAGGACATCTCCAAAATCCACAATTATTGAAAGACCTTCTATACAAACTCCCAGATACATTGAAATTGAAATGGGGTGAAGTTGTAGTCAGTAAAAA